GAGAGAGCGGCGCCTGGCGAAGCGCCCTGGAGCGGGGCTCTCCTCAGCAGCCCGCGGGCCGCCGCGGTTTCTGTCAGCAGCGGGGCCGTGAGGAGCTTCGCGGCGCGCTTCAAAGACACGGGTAAAACTACACAGAATCGTTTTTCTCTTGATTTCCTCCCCCACCGCGCCCGCCAAAAGTGAAAGATTGACTTTCTGGTGGTTCGCTTGCAAAAGCTGAGTTAGGTTGTAGTCTGCGATTAACTTTGTGCCAAACAAATAGTGTTGAAAGTGTTAGAAATGCCTTTTTTCGACTAACCTCCCCCTTAGAAAGGATTGCTGAGTGGCAAACAGGGCAGGCTGTCCATCTCGTTGTTATAACCACCCAACCGAAACAAAAACCACCCCCAAACACCTTAAAGACCATTGTAATGCAAAGCAATACGCAGCCCGGAGGTTCACTGTACTATCACCATGTTCTCCAAACACTATAAATAAGCTCCTGTGATTACCAGTTCGTATAATTAATTCTGAGTTGTTTGTAGATGAGGCTAAACACAAGTGTGAAACACTTTTGACTTCTCAATTTTTATCTAGTGCATTAAGCACTAAATGCTCTTTAAGGCCTGATAAATACACTGAAGTACTACAGAAAATGCTCCTCACGCAGTTGTAGTTGCTTATTTATTTTCTGTATTTGTTCTAATACGACTTTACCTAAGAAACCTTATTCTCAGAAGACAGTACTATTCCAGACAAGATGCTTGCAAGACTAAGACCACAGTCTCCTGTAACAGCACATTAAATAAAGGTTGCTGGGGGCTATTTGCTCTTCATGGAAATCAATGTGTTTATCTTTTCCTATATTGCTCTAGATCGCTTACACTTATAGCTAACCCTTAATTAAATATTTCATTTTTTATTTATAAGCGATTTTCTGAGGGGTAACACATCCTCAGTAAGAAAACCGGTATCAATGTATTTTCTCCAGAACCATTGTTTTTTAACAGCCGTTTTTAATCAAACTTTCACTACAGTTCAATGTAACACACGTTTGTAAGTCTGTGCTGCACTCTACTTGAGGGGAGTTTGGATGAGCGTACTCAAACTAGCTTTAACAAAGCTACCTTGAGCAACAGAAGCAAAGATTGAACAGTGTAACAGGACAGCTAGCCAGGATCCAGAATCCCTAGATACACAGTGTGTGTTAAAGCCTATTATTTGTAAATCCCTCTAGCTAGGCTGGTAAATCTAGGAGGCAGAGGTGACTAGAAACTGAAGCCCCATTGTCAAATGTTATTTATATACCACTTATATATCGTTTGTAAAAATTGCAAGTGTTGGTTTGGTTACATATCAGTTCTCATTTGTGGCAATTAGCTGGAGCCTTCCTAAGCATAAAAAGTACTTAAAATAATCTTTCTCCCCTGTAAAAATATGGACAAAATAACCTGCATGTGTTTTCAGTTCCAGGGCTTTATCTCATAGCTTTTAGCATGACTATCTAAGGCAGCTCACCTTGCAAAATGCTAGCTTTAGGAATGTTCTCACCTCATATAATTTTGTTGATTATAATAAATTCCAATTACTATTTTTAACATTTGATGCTACCATGTACCAAAGCTACAGTGACATCTTGTGGCATTTTTGAAACTGTAGGTAAAGCAGGAATTTTCTTGTAGTCCTGTTGCATCATTTTCAGACTATATCCTGAACTTTTCAACAAAGATTTTTTAAATATACCTTCTAGATACCATTTTTAAAGCCCTGTGTTCCTAAACATTAATTTCTATAGAACATTCAGAGGTAGCGATGAATCTGTTTAGACTGTAAAACGTTTCCAAAATGACATCTAGATAATCTCTCAGAAGAAATCATCACATACGTATTATTTCGTTAAAAATATAAATCCTCAGCAATATATTTCATTAAAGAATCTTAAGGCATTTTTGTAACCATCAAGGGATAAAAAGTTCCCAGCCTTTAAAAAACAAACAAAACCCCTTTTGATTCCTGAGGACAACGAATTATGGCTGGAGATTAAGTCTTATCTTCAAATTTTCTTTGCTAGATAGGTCTAACTGTTTAAGGTGTTTTGGTGGCTTTCCCCCCCTCAGTTTATTTCATCAATTAATTTAGGCCTTACCTAAATTAAGAGAATGTATGTGCCCACAAGTACCTGTTTTTTAACAAATGAAATCTTGGTGCTGCTCATCTGTATGCGAACTGTGAGCTTACTTCAGACATCTAACACTGCAATCAATCTGGTTTACATGTTTTATTTGACAATGGTACAAATTAAATTTACCAGTATAATAAAATCTTGTTCTATTAAATTCTTTCACTGATACAGAAGAACAAAAAGTAATCCCAACCCAACTCAACTCCTTCCCCTCAGCAACAAAGCCAATAGTGAGATTTGGCTGAGCGGCCAGTTCGTTTCACATTTTAAAAGTAAGGTGAACACCACCTGTGAGTCTTCACAGTTCTAGTTGATGCTGCACAGAACAGAGGTTACAGACCAGTGAGTAAACGAAATGCAGTAAACTGCCACGAGGAAAGCTGCACTTCTGCAAAGATCATAGACCTGCTTGATTACTACTTATCACTACAGCACAATAATCAAAATCTACTTTTCACTGCTACAATAAAATTAAGCAGACTTTACACTGCCATGATAAGATTTTGCCCTCTAAATCTTACAAAAGTACTAGGAAGACTTCACTGAACAGAAACAAAATCCTTTAACACTGACAGAACAGTCTACGTTAACACACTGGTTGCAGAACTACAGCATCCCAATCTAACAAAAGCTGTTAATAATAGCTCTGTTTCTTGCTATAGACGAGGCCAGGGAAATCAGAGACTCATAACAGTCCATCCCTGTCAGGTATCACTGTACTTTAAAAGACTTTTTTTTTTTAAATAATGCTTTACTCATTCATTGCACATTGTAATTCTGTTGTCGTAGCCACCAGAACCAGAGATGAAAGGAACCAAAAAGTAAGTAAACACTCATTTGGATGCCAGAGAGGGACTCTTCATCAGTGACTGTAGCGGTAGGACAAGGGGTGATGGGTTCAAACTGAAACAGGGGAAGTTCAAGTTTAGACATTAAGCAGAAGCTCTTCCCTGTGAGGGTGCTGAGGCGCTGGCACAGGGTGCCCAGAGAAGCTGTGGCTGCCCCATCCCTGGCAGTGTTCAAGGCCAGGTTGGACACAGGGGCTTGGAGCAACCTGCTCTAGTGTGAGGTGTCCCTGCCCGTGGCAGGGGGTCGGAACTAGAAGAGCTTTAGGGTTCCCTCCAACACAAACCAGTCTGGGATTCTGTGATTCAATGAAGGAGTAGTTAAAAAAACTAAGACCTGTAATACAACAAAATGTACACTGTCACATATGTAGAACAGCCTGCTCTTATTAGCAATGGTAAATAAGACATATTTTAAGAGTGAGGATTTTCTTGGACATATTTTCATAAACAATGTACATGCAAAATATAAAAATAAAACTAAGACTAAAGAGACTATTAATAAGTAATATCCCATCAATTTCTTCTGGCTGCTTATAAAAGTTTCATGGTTTATGTATTCATGTTTCTTACATTTCCAGGTGGTAAGTTTTATCTTTCAGCTGCTTGTAGTGTTTCAGCACCTCTAGGCAAATCAATAATGTGGAAAAAAGCCACATCAGAGATCATTTTCCACTATCTCAGCAGCAGTAGATGCCGTAGGCAACGGTTTTAGGACTATCTGAGATTAAGGTGAGGTACTCTTCTCAGGCTTGCTTTCATAGCGGCTTCAGAATACAGAATAGCTTATATACAGACTTCATAGGGGTTTTGTACAGGAGTCTAGAAGCCTGGCCAACCGTTTACTGTAGCCCTTCTACAGTTTCACTGGGAAGCAGGAGGAGAAGGGGAAAGGCAAGGAAGTATCTCAAGATATAAAATATATGCCTAGATCTCATTTAGCTAGATTAACGTTGAAATAAATATCTAAACATAAGCACTGCAAGGGTAGGAGTGCATTTTTCTCTGCGTGTTTCTGAAGAACTGACCTAATTAATTGTAATAGCTTTTCAGGTTTTAATGAAATGGGATGATTTTATCACAGCTAAACATTAGTATATATTCTTCAAGTTTTCTCAAAATTTACCTTGGAGAATTAGTAAGAAAGGAAAAAAACAAAAAACAAACAAAAAAAACCCCATAAGAAGCTATATGGAAAAAGTTCAGAGGCTACAAATAAGGATGGCCAAGATGCAGTAATTAGACCTTCTTCTCTCCTTGAACTCAGTACAATTCACTGAGTATTGTTTAGCTTTTAACCCCTTAAATTCATTGGCTTACATTTTATTCTTGTGATTGGCATAATTAGGAAAACCAAACTGAGAAATCATGATATTAGAATATTGTAAAGGCATGCCATCATAAATATTAACCAGTTTATTTACACAGTAAGATCTCTGTAACAAATGCTCTGCTCTGTGCCACATTCCAGAATAGCCACTGTTAGTGTCTTTTTCTAAATTCCTTATGTCAACAGGCTTCACAAACACTCCTGAAGGTTTCCCAGTGTGCCTGGCTACCAGAAAATTCATGGCAATATCATCACAATTTTGAGTTTCATCTATTAAGGCATGAACTGCTTCTGGCTGTCTTTGAAAGTCTTCTAAATACCCACTATGGAAAAATGCTGCACCAATAAGAACCATAGAATACCGATCTCCGTTGCCAAATCCAGGGCTCTGCAACTCAAAGCTGCCATAACTGTATACACCTGAAGGAGTTGAAATGTGCTTCCTAGGGACAAATCCCACTATCTGCTCTGGAAATTGCTGAAAGAAAAAAGAAATGTAAACAATTAAAGTGAACACACAGTGAAATGTGTGTTAAGAATTGTCATAAGTGAGATTTATGCTTTTTTTAAAAAAATGAGAGGAGCACAAGATTATTGCCAGGGAAGAATGAAATTGCTGGCATATGGTCCCTTGATCTGCATAAATGTTGCAATTAAACAGAGTTTCACAGAACTGACACAATATGCCTCATTCAACATTATGTAGTGCCAAGAAACATCTATCCACAATTTGCAGCTGTATATCTGGCACTCAAAATAACTTTATAGACAATTTCTCTCGGAGATGAAAAAACGCCACAAGTTTTGTTTTGCTGCCTCCTATCAATTTAAATAAATTCAGCAGTCAGCAACTTCGGTGTTCTTGTACAAGAGTTACAAATTTGAAAGACAGATTACAGGCATAGCTAGTATTGAAGAATATTTTTGCAATTGCTACTGTTCAATGCTTCAATCTTTCTAAAATCTAGCTTTATAGCTAGAAAACCAGTGGTAAAACATGAAGATATAGGATTACTTTTAATTAAAACCATTCATCTCAATTGTAACTCTCAAATACTGCATGCCAAGGTGCAAAACATTACCTGCCAAACAGAGAAGGCGAAAGTAAGGTCATGAGCACTGACTAGTGTATCATCATCCATCATTAAAACAGCTGAAAGGGGGAAGGAAGAAAACCACATTTAATTTCTCAGAAGATTAAATACCCAAGCACAGTATGCAGCACAGGGTTTGACAAGTTAGGTGTGGAACTTCTACAGTCATTAAACTGTACTGCAGAACTGAACTGCAACTCCTTGAAAGCAGATTGGGAAAACAGATTTCAAAGCTAAAAACAAGGTTGCAGCTTTGTGGTAGCTGAAAGCAAAGCTAAAGGTTTACATTATTTGCCAGGATGTAACAAAACTCAGCAAAACTTTGATCACTTCTAGTGCAGAGGGACAGATACGTGCACAACTTGGAGTGTTGGGCAGATGGGCAGAGCAAATTAAGATCCTACTAATCTTGCATAAAAATGCAATTAAAAGAGTTAGATACCTTTCTTTAGAGTATGAGATTTATAAGAGAGTCTTAGTATTAAATTTTACCCAACTCCTCACTACTTGCAAGTTCTAACAAAGCAAGATTAATGAATTGCACAGGCAACATTCAGTAGGATGAACTACAGAAAGAAGAATCTTTGCCTTAAATTTTGGGCAAAAGACAGGAAGCGGAAAAGGAAAGATACTCTTAGACCAGAACTTCAGGTACATTAAACCTGTTTAAGTTTACAGTCAGTGTAAATCCCATTACAGTAAATAAAACACTTGGGAAGTTGAAGTTTCTAGCATCTTCCAAGAAGTCATGGGTTTTGAGTAGCAAGGCATGTTAGGAAGGGGGCAGTAAACAGACTTGCCTTTACTAATCATAGAATCATATAATCCCAGACTGGCATGGGCTGGAAAGGACCTTAAGATCATCCAGTTCCAACACCCTGCCATGGGCAGGGGACACCTTCCACTAGAGCAGGTTGCTCCAAGCCCCTGTGTCCAACGTGGCCTTGAACACTGCCAGGGATGGGGCAGCCACAGCTTCTCTGGGCACCCTGTGCCAGCGCCTCAGCACCCTCCCAGGGAAGAGCTTCTGCCTTAGATCTAACCTGAACTTCCCCTGTTCCAGTTTGAACCCATCACCCCTTGCCCTATCGCTACAGTCCCTGATGAAAAGTCCCTCTCTGGCATCCTTGTAGGCCCCTTCAGATATTGGAAGGCTGCTATGAACATCTGGGGTTTTTTTCCCACTTGAAACAAATGGGAATTATTGTTGTGCTCCTCTTGCAAAGAGCTTAGGAAGAATATTTAGATGAATAGCCAAAAGACTGGGGAAAATACTCTTAAAAAGGGTCCATAATTTGAGGTAGAAAGCCAGACAGATAGGGAAACTTCTCTGCAGAGCTGCACATGCATGAGAACTCAGTCTTAAAATAAATGGATTACATGAAGTAATTACCGGATGACTTAAGTCCAGATTAATGCAGAGACTCAACAAATACACGCACTATGAATTTTAATTTACTCTATTAAGAGAGACTGAACTAGTTATGTTTGCCTGACAAAGGAAACGGAGAACACCTTGCAAAAAGCCTGTGAATGCATTTGACATCCCCCTTTTTTTCCTTACTCTTCACTGAAAGCCTGCTGGTAGTGGTGGTGTGCATCTGATGTCGTAACATAGCTTGCTTCCCTATTAAGTGGCCCAACAGATCCACGGGTTTATTACACAGTGAAACTCAAACCATCTCCCTTTTAGCACCTAGATTTTAAGTGTGCAAATAATATTAATAGTAGTGATATGAACTGCTGATTACCTTTTGTTTCCAGCTCAGGGAAATTCTTGAGTCTGTTCCTCATGCGATTTACAGTTTGAACTTTAAAGACAACGGGGACAGGATGAGGTCCCAAGGAATTCCACATTTCCTCCGGTGTCTTCTCACCAATGTTGTTCCACACAACAATTACTTTATGTAGGTGGGGGATGGCTTGATAATGATTTAAAAGCTTTAGCAGTAAGTCTGTTCTATTATATGTCTGCATAATAAGAGTAAATGCATCCGAGGCAGACTGACTCTGGGTTTTTGGTTCCCTTCTCAAATTGGGCATTTTGTCATCTTTGATACTGGGAAGCAAAGCTGTCAAAGCACCTGCCACAAGAAGTAAAACAATGATCACCACTGAAGTGAAGCGCAGTAGGCGGATTCCCATAACTCTTCCTGGAAGTTTACAGAAGTGGAAATACCTTTAAAACAAGTAACAGGAAAGGAAAAGTCATTAATTCCACTTATACTTATTTCCCTTACTTGAGCAAAACTCCCAGAGTATTGAGTAGACTTTTGTTTAAGTAAATAAATAAGGAGGATTTTAGGATTTTTGATCTTTAAGGTCCCTTCCAACCCAACCATTCTATGATTGAGCCAGTTATGTTCAGCTATCAAGACAGATACTTCTGGTACTCAGTTTCTATATTTATTTGCTTTTCACCTTTTCTGATTAACTTTGAATTTCATTGGTTTGTGCAAATGAATCTGGAGTAATTCTTTAGATTGCTTATTGTCTCTTATTTTCTCAGTATGGCATTTTTGATTGAACATTTACATACCTCACCACATCCATCCAGCTGAGATTAGAGAGCAAAACTGTACAGGAAGTCAGAATTGCAGGAGCTCTGCCTTAGCTGGGAAACAAGAGGCAGAGAAAGTGCCTCCTCAAGAGCTCTGGCAGAGAGAAGGAAGTAAAACAGTCTTTCTTTTTCCACCATCCATGGAAGGAACAATCTTTATCACTGATTTGCTGGACACTTTGTCAATAGTTTGTATATCTGCTCCACATATAATGTGGAAAATATGATTCTGGTCATACAAACTGAGTCTGTAACACAAGTGGAGCAAAAGCAATATGCCAAATGGAATAACGTAGGAATGCAACATCAGTAACAGCTGCTCTGCTAAATCTAGAGCTCAGTGAAACTGAAAATGCCAGATGCTAGGAGTCATGTATCAGCTAAGTGGCGGAGGAGCTGTAGCATAAGGCAGGAGTTTCTCCATCCTCCTGATTCTGGAACTGAACAGGAGCTCTTAAAAGGCAGCTCCTACAAGGGCAGCCCCAACATTCATGCCTCTTAGGTAGCACTCCTAGTTCTCCAGACATTCATAAACTTGGCAGGATCCAGCAGCTACTGCATTCCAGTTTGCTCCTCAAATGTGTCATCCACATGTGTTCTTCCTTCTTTACTTGCAAGATGACTATTCACTGAATACAAGAGTAATATTCTAAGCTTAATACTAAAGAGTAACTCATCTATACATACTAGGCATGTTACTCCACTAGTAATGTCATAGAATCACAGCCTGGTTTGGGTTGGAAGGGACCTTAAAGCTCTTCCAGTTCCAACCCCCTGCCACGGGCAGGGACGCCTTCCACTAGACCAGGTTGCTCCAAGCCCCTGTGTCCAACCTGGCCTTGAACACTGCCAGGGATGGGGCAGCCACAGCTTCTCTGGGCACCCTGTGCCAGCGCCTCAGCGCCCTCACAGAGTAGAACTTCCTCCTAATGTCTAATATAAATCTCCCCTCTTTCATCTAAAAGCCGTTCCCCCTCGTCCTGTCACAACATGCCCTTCTAAAAAGCCCCTCTGGAAGCTGGCACTGGGAGCTGCTCTAAGGTCTCCCTGGAGCCTTGTCTTCTCCAGGCTGACCCAGCCCAGCTCTCTCAGCCTGTCTCAAGAGCAGAGCTGCTCCAGCCCTTGCACCATCTCTGAGGCCTCCTCTGGACTTGCTCCAGCACCTCCACATCCTTTTTAGGTCGGGTGCCCCAGAGCTGAATTTCTAGGCTTTCAGCAGGGAATTCTGATCAACTTCAGTGATCCAGGACATCTGTTACAGTTTTTGAGAGGGTATCTGTGTTTTAGCATAGAAATTTTGATAATTTGTTTTCCAAAGTGCATATACCATGCTTGAAATGCAAGTGATTTTAGTCTAAATGTAAATCATTTTAGTCTAAAAAACCTTTGAACTTACCTCATTATTGCCAAGTGGTTTCCCCACCTTGTTTTTACAGGAGAGTTGTTTGTGATCTTTGAATCTGTTGGAAATCAAAGGGACTCTATAACTGAAGAGCACCATTTACCCGCATGGTAGCCAGCATTCTTTTACAAGTACACATTCCTCCTGATCACCAACTGATGTACACATTCTTGCCAAATTCTCCAATCCCCTTTCCTACTGCTCAGTTCAATAATCTTCTCTGCCTTTCCATGAACACTCCAGAAAGAAGTTATTACACCAGTTGGTTAGAAGGAAAACCATAGCCCATTTCTCTGCTTGTAAAATTGTTGCTCTGTGCCAATGCAACGTCTGTGTGCTTCATCCTTAGGGTCAACTACAGAGATACAAGCAGGATTCCAGAACCTCACAGTCTGTATGTACTTAGCTCCCAATCAGGCGAGCAGTCCCAATAAAATCATTTTCTCTCATCCCTTTCATGCTCTCACAGAATCACAGAATCAGCCAGGTTGGAAAAGCCCTTTAAGCTCAAGTCCAACCGTTCCCCAGCAGTGCCAAGGCCACCACTAACCCCCGGCACTGAGGCCTCCTCTACCCGGGGTGCGACCACAGGGACGGTGACTCCAGCCCTGCCCTGGGCAGCCTGTTCCACTAAAAGCTTACCAGTCGTGTTAGAGGTTTAAGACACAGCATTTTTTGTTCTTCCCATGTGGTTTGGCAGAAGGGAAAGCAAATATGAGTGTAAGCACAAGCAGGAAGAATGTACAAGATGCAGGACAGCAACTTAAGAAACCTGTGTCTGTCAAGGCTCCCGGGCTGTCAGAGGGATTTTAGTTCTTTTAATCCCAGTTGAACAAAGATAGGGAGATTTTATTTTTGATCGAGGACAGGTACTATGAAAGCTTAGAGAACAAAGAATTGATGAGCTTGTTAAATAATTTAACTATGTGAAATTTCAGGAGAGTGGTTTGTTTAGGTTATATCGACTTGTTTCTTAAGTGTACAGAATTGCCAATTTGTGTCTATACCACTCTGAGTACATCCATACATACAGGTCATCCCAAATTTGGGTCTGAGTTTTACCGCTGACTTATTCGATGTGCGGGTGGAAAGGACACAGAAACTATTTCCTGGAGCTCATCACTTGTTTGGGTGCTTCATTTTATAGGTGTAGACAATCACCCCTGGCTCATACAAACTCACACTGGAGCTTGGCCTTATGTGCTTTCAAAGGGATGAACCTTAAGTTCTCTTTCCCCAGGTGCCACCCACTTGCAGCCATACTGACCAATGCCACTGTCACAATTAACTAGTTGAAAGATTTAAAAACATGGTGAAAATGTTTGCTGTGGAAATGAGACTTCCTGGCGTGCCATACATCCTTGTGTTTACTCAGTTGCACATGATCAGCTGTAATGGTGACAAGGATGACGTTAGTACGCGTTCTCTAGTTAAAATAGACGCCTATACAAAACCTTTAGAATTAGCATTCACTGCACTTTCCAGCAGGGAAATGCCAATAAGTTTTGCCAATTAAATGATGAAAATACAGTGCAAGACTGACCTCTTTAAAAAAATTCTTACAATACCCCCTGCAGAGAGCAAAACCAAAACAGAACTGACGGAAATCAAGACCTGGGTGAAAATACAACATTTTTAATATAAGAAGAACGCTTCCTGAGCGGGTCCCCCCCTCTCCATGGGCCGTATTTCACATCGATCACCCGCAGCCGAAGCAAACAGGTCCCCCCGGCCCGGCCCGGCTCCCCCCGTGCACGGGTTCGCTCACGTTCGGGAGGCCACCCGAGCC